AGGTTTCATCATCCCCGAGGAAGAGTGAAATCCATAAAGCGCTTTGGTACTCTAAGTGCCTCTCTGGGCCGAAGCCGTGATCCAGTCCTTGTTCTTCGGGTCTGTTGTGGGACAAAAGTTGGTAGCACCGCTCCCAAGGGGGTAGTCGGACAGTCATGATGGCTACTTCCGCCATGTCTTCTTTTCCTCAATGGACGGTCTGAGCTTGTCATACGATCTTCAGGTGCCTCCAACCCAGACCATCCCAGGAGAACCCCAGACCTCCCTGACGCTGCGTGTTCAGTTCCTCCAGGAGTGTCTAGAGCTCCCCCAGAAATCCGGGTTATGGAGTCACCCTCTCTTTATATCCTGCTGAGGCTCCCCACCCGTTGTCTGGCGCTGCGTGTTCAGCTCCTCTGTACGCAGGATGGGTTGCCCCAACAGTCTGCCGCGGACTTCTGTTACCGAAGGGTCGCTGTTCTCCTTGGTACGGGGCCAGCCGGTCCCGATGCCAAACCACAGTATGACCTCCAGGCTTCTTCCTAACACGATAAATGGACTCTCCAAGCCTCTTCACCACATAACATGGTCCTACCCAGGCACAATCTAATTTAGGCGAGCATCCCTTCTGTCTCTTAGACCCATAGACCCATACAAACTCTCCTGCATTGAAATCACGTCCTGTGCAGTGATGATCATATGCTCGTTTCTGGCATATACCTGCCTGCAGAGCTTGACGACGGGCAAACTCATGGGCTGACTGTAGCTGATCTTGTAACTGATGGGCGTACTCCAACCCAGGTGGTGCATCTGATGCATCTGGTGGGCGACCCATTGGCAAGGAAGATGGGGTTCTCAATTCTCTGCCCAGCATTAGAAGCGCTGGTGTACACCCAGTTGTCTCCTGCACTGCACTCCAAGTAGCAAGCAGAACCAGTGGCAACTGCAGATCCCAGTCCTTTTGATCCCGGCTCACACACAGGGCCAGTTGGGTGGCTAGTGTCCGATTATACAGCTCGACCATCCCATCACTCTGGGGGTGCAAGGGAGTTGTCCTCGTCTTCCGGATGCCGAACTGTCGACAGAACTCAGAGAACAGTTGGGACTCGAAGTTCCTTCCTTGATCGCTATGCACTTCGGTGGGGACCCCAAAGCGAGCAAACATGCCTTCCAGCAGGACCTCTGCCACTGTCTCGGCCTCCTGATTGGGAACAGCATAGGCCTCCACCTCACAACGGCCCATCATAGTTGCCTGCTCGCCCATGACAGTCACAAGGGGAAATCAGGAAGTCTGAAGAACTCTTCTCATCAAGAGCCTGGGATGAATAATAGTGACTGTAGAACCGGTGTCCAGCAAAGCCCGCACTGACTGTCCATCCACTTTGACCTCAATCCGACAGCACTCAACTGGACTAGTCTTCTCAAGAGACGATTCACAGGGAGGTTCAGGAGTGACAGATGGGCCGAGAGTACCTCCCTCTTCTCCGGCCCCTGTCCGTTTCCCGAGGGCTGCATAGATGCTGCCACATCCAGGGCGGTGCACTCCCGATGCAAATGCCCTGCTTTTCCACAGCGCCAGCAAACCACGAGTTCCCTCTGGGATGCATTCGTCTTAACAGTTGGTGACTGAGTCTGCTCCCCAGAGTATGCAGCAAAAACCCTGGGACGGCCAACAACTCCACTGGATCATTCATCCAATATCCTTTCTATAACTTGAGCTTGGTCTAGGGCTTCGTCAAGGCTAGATGGCTGAGCTATTCGTACCTGCTGCCGTAGGTGGTCTGGAGTCAATCCTAGGATGAACGCATCCTGAACCAATGCATCTCTCACGTGTTCGCTGAATTAGGATAACTGCGTTGAGCTAGATGTTGCAGGTCAGCCATAAACACAAAGGCTCCTTCGGTTGCCGGGTGTGCTCCTGAAACAAAGGAGCCCTTTGCAGGTAATAATCCCCATAACAGGTAATAATAGTGAACACATTTATAACAGCCGACAGAAGACGAATTTCAAGTGGAAGTGGATGCGCATGTCTTTCAAAACTAGAGGTGAGGGAATAAGGCAGGTCTGATGGCAACCATAGGAACTTTGTCAGTTTTTGATGCGTCAATCGTGGGAGGAGTATTGTAAGCAAACAGCCTCAATGCCACAATATAATAACATAGTCCCCTCTTGTGGACACTTTATAAACTGCACCCCAACCTAAAGTATTACTGTAAAGATACCACATCTCCCCTTCCTTTTATCTTGGCAGGGGTACTCGTCAAGGCTGTCCCCTGTCACCCCTGCTGTTTAATTTATCATTAGAGCCTTAGGCCTAAGTGATCAGACAATGTCCCACAATAGTTCCAATAAGTTGTATGAATACATCCCATAAAATTTCACTCTATGCTGATGATGTTTTGCTGTATATATCAAACATCACAGATTCGGTTAAGGAATGCTTAAAATTATTTGATACATTTGGTAAACTGTCTGGTTATAAGATTCATTGGAACAAATCCATACTTATGCCCCTTAATTTAGCTGCTAAATCAGAGATTCAGACCTTACTTGTCAGTGACCAGTTTAATTATCTTGGAATTAGAGTTTTTCCTTCATTATCTCACATTTCCAAGTGGAATTATCAGTCTCTTCTGGATAAGATTAAGAGCAATCTGTGTTGGTATCCACTTTGTTTGGCTCTTCATGGAAGGATAGCCACTAATAAGATGAATATACATCCAATGCTAAGTTTTTTATTCTTGGTGTTACCTCTGACACCACCTGCTGGCTATTTTAAAGAGATCAATACCGCAGTATCAAAATTCTTGTGGAATAATAAAAGGCCTAGAATTCGTCTTAAGTCTATGCACCAGCTAAAACCTCATGGTGGCTTATCCCTACCCTATTATTTAGCATTCCAGATGAGACCGCTTAGGACGTGAATAGATGTTGACTCCCCTGCGCCATGCCGGGCCTTAGAAACTAATATTACTTACTCATTGCGTCTACATTATTTACCCTTTAATATCTAAGAAAGCTCTGGAAAAGTTTGGTCCAATTATATACCATTCTATCAAAACCTGGTAAGCAGCAGAAAAGATTATGGGAGCTTCAGATTCTTACAGTGACTACCCTCATTTGGCATAATAATAATATTTGTACTGGTAACAAACCAATCGTTTCCAAATGCTGGGTTGAATGTGGTATTTACACTTTAAAAGACCTGTACAATGATTATGGGCTCAAGTCCTTTCAGATTCTAAAGGATGAATTCTTTCTCCCAGGATTCTCCTTTTTCTTGTACTTAAGATTAAGATCTGTGCTGGAAGCCTACGGATACCCTGGTTGATTAAAATATATCCTGATCCTATGATGAAACTGGATAGATTCTAGTATGGCTTCCAGAGGTTTTGTGAGTGTAATTTATAAATCACTTGTGGTATGACAGTATTTAAACATTCTGACTGAGGGTTTCTGGGAAAGAGAACTTAACACTGTGATTGATTGAGACACTGTCTGGGGGAATTGTTTTGATACCTCAAAAAACCCAGCTCACCAAATGATTCATTATAAGTTAATCTATAAGGCATATGCCACTCCCTGTTTATTATATAAAATGAAAAGAAAGTCTGACCCCTTCTGTCACCTGTGTATGTCAAGGTACATGTATGCATATGTTCTTGGACTGTTCCCGAGCTGTGTTGCTCTGGTCCTTGGTACAGGACTTATTGTTGGATCTTCTGAAGACTCAGAACCATATGGACCCACTGCTTTTTCTCTTGCTGGATGATTCGTCACTGTCATTGTCTGTCAATCAAAAAAGGATTCTGTCTGCTGCTCTTATTGCTGTCAAAAAGGTTATTCTGAAATTGTGGTTTGATCCATCTACCCCAGTTAGGTTTACTTGGATGTCATATGTACTTGCTGAACATTGTCCTTTTGGAGTGTACCACAGCCAAAATACATGGTGCCACCAGAAAGACAATACAATTTTGGTTGGACCTTATTGACACTTTATCAAACCTCTTGAAATCCTGAAATGTACTTGTTATCCTGCTAATGTTGTTTTGTAATATTGTATTTTAAGTCCCCCCCACCCCCCTGTTTTTTAATGTATATGGCCAGATCTCAGGCTCTGCTGTAAATAGTTATAAATCTAAAATGTTTAATAAATAAGGAATCAAAAAATAAATAAATCAATCAAATAAAAAGAATTTTGGTAACCAAACAGTTGTCGGTAGCCATTGACTTTCATAGTATGGAAAAAACTACGGAAGTCAATGGCTACCGTCAACTGTTTGGGTACCCACATTCTTCAAAATATCTATTATGTTCACCAAAATAAAATAAAAAAATCATACAGGTTTGAAATGACATGAGGGTGAGTAAATGATGACAGAATTTACATTTTTGGGTGAACTGTCCCAGCTTATTGCATGAGAACCCTTATTTAATGTAGTCCATTTTTTGGACATGACCCAACTTACCATCTTCATCTACTTCTTCAATGATGGCATCCAGTTCCTCTCTGGATGGATTCTGACCCAGCATCCTCATGACGGTACCCAACTCCTTGGTGCTGATATCACCTCCACCGTCGGTGTCGAACATGTCGAAGGCAGCCTTGAACTCTTTGATTTGAGATGAAATAAAAGGAAAAAAGAAATTGAAAACAGGATGTGAAAAGCTGCATAATAAGATTTTTATCAATTAAAAATTCACCACTTAAAGGCAAGCAGTGTGAATCAAATGTTCTGAATGAGCAAAATCACATAGAGATTGTCAAAGTTCACACACTCACCAGCAATCATGTCCTCACTCAGGAAAGAGCGGGCGTCATTCTGGGCATCAGTGGGCTAATGAAAAAAAGAGATTGCGATATACTAAGAGCCTCATGGGGCATTTACAAATCAGACTGAAAATTTAAAATGACTTTGCTCATTATTTGGAACTGGATAACCTTCACAGGGGGTTCCTAGTCTTGGATTAAGCAAGGAAAATATATTTCCAGGTATATTCATGGCAAACAAAGAGCAGACAAGAACAACTTTATGAAAAGAATTTCCTTTTAAACAGTTCTCTCTGAGTTAAACGTTTTAAAGTAAAAATATGTGGAAAATTTAGTGGCCTCAAAAAGTATTTGGTAAAATAAGTGTTATAATAAATATTAATTATCAAACAGCTTTAGTGTAAAAGTGTAAGATTATCACTGCATTAAATATCAAAATATCAAATCAGATGGAATTTGCAAACAAATGATAGTGCCTTTATCATACATAACATGGCTTGCTATTGCTATTGCTATTTAATGCAATGAAATTAATATTTTATGTATAGACTGAATCTCATAATACTTTATAGGTAACCTGAAGGTGGACACTTAATAATCTAATTAATCCATTTCTTTTATTAATTATATTTTTAGATCTTAGAAAAACAAAACAAAATTAAAAAACGAACATTAAGAAGTATATGGTTATGTATATGCAATAAATAAATAAAATAAATTAAGTAACATCTATTTAGAACTGAAGGAATAATGTCATGACTAATAGCTCCACATCACAAATGGCTGTAGAGAACATGCAGAATTTACTCCACTTTTACCATCCATATGTCCTCAAGTGAAGCAGATTTAATGGGTTTCTAGTGAAGCTATTATTGAAGAGTTAAAAGGAAAGAGCACACAATTATTTGCATAGTGCTACAGCCACAAAAAAAGACAATGTGACAGAAGAATGAAATTGATTTATTTACCTAATGATGACTCTCATATCACACTTCAGTAATAAAGGTGATATAATACTAATAATATAGAAGATTAAAAGGAAATAAGAACAAGTCCTCAAATTGTATTCCAAAAACAATGCATAAACATTTCATGAAATTGTATTTAACATTTTCCCTAAAGAAAGCATGAGATGCGAGAAGCGTACAGTCTCTATATGCCTACTGTACATTGCATTAATGAGTTTCTCCATGAAATGTATTCTGGAACATGTAAGATAAATGTACAAGTACAAGAGATCTGTCAAACAATATGTTCTCACATAGTCCAGAACTGAACACAGTGTTTAAATATAGCTGCAATAGCTCCTACTACATCACAAATATTCTCCATCTCCATACGATTCACTACGATTTGATAGAGAAGGGCACAAAAAGTACCCAGTGACCCTTTTGCCTGTTCTTGCCTTGGTTTTGTGTAAAATGCTATTTAAAACCAACATATATATACAGTGGGTACGGAAAGTATTCAGACCCCCTTAAATTTTTCACTCTTTGTTATATTGCAGCCATTTGCTAAAATCATTTAAGTTAATTTTTTTTCCTCATTAATGTACACACAGCACCCCATATTGACAGAAAAACACAGAATTGTTGACATCTTTGCAGATTTATTAAAAAAGAAAAACTGAAATATAACATGGTCCTAAGTATTCAGACCCTCTGCTGTGACACTCATATATTTAACTCAGGTCCTGTCCATTTCTTCTGATCATCCTTGAGACGGTTCTACACCTTCATTTGAGTCCAACTGTGTTTGATTATACTGATTGGACTTGATTAGGAAAGCCACACACCTGACTATATAAGACCTTACAGCTCACAGTGCATGTCAGAGCAAATGAGAATCATGAGGTCAAAGGAACTGCCTGAAGAGCTCAGAGACAGAATTGTGGCAAGGCACAGATCTGGCCAAGGTTACAAAAAAATTTCTGCTGCACTTAAGGTTCCTAAGAGCACAGTGGCCTCCATAATACTTAAATGGAAGACGTTTGGGACGACCAGAACCCTTCCTAGAGCTGGCCGCCCGGCCAAACTGAGCTATCGGGGGAGAAGAGCCTTGGTGAGAGAGGTAAAGAAGAACCCAAAGATCACTGTGGCTGAGCTCCAGAGATGCAGTCGGGAGATGGGAGAAAGTTGTAGAAAGTCAACCATCACTGCAGCCCGACGGAAGCCTCTCCTCAGTGCAAGACACATGAAAACCCGCATGGAGTTTGCTAAAAAACACCTGAAGGACTCCAAGATGGTGAGAAATAAGATTCTCTGGTCTGATGAGACCAAGATAGAACTTTTTGACCTTAATTCTAAGCGGTATGTGTGGAGAAAACCAGGCACTGCTCATCACCTGTCCAATACAGTCCCAACAGTGAAGCATGGTGGTGGCAGCATCATGCTGTGGGGGTGTTTTTCAGCTGCAGGGACAGGACGACTGGTTGCAATCGAGGGAAAGATGAATGCAGCCAAGTACAGGGATATCCTGGACGAAAACCTTCTCCAGAGTGCTCAGGACCTCAGACTGGGCCAAAGGTTTACCTTCCAACAAGACAATGACCCTAAGCACACAGCTAAAATAACGAAGGAATGGCTTCACAACAACTCTGTGACTGTTCTTGAATGGCCCAGCCAGAGCCCTGACTTAAACCCAATTGAGCATCTCTGGAGAGACCTAAAATTAGCTGTCCACCAACGTTTACCATCCAACCTGACAGAACTGGAGAGGATCTGCAAGGAGGAATGGCAGAGGATCCCCAAATCCAGGTGTGAAAAACTTGTTGCATCTTTCCCAAAAAGACTCATGGCTGTATTAGATCAAAAGGGTGCTTCTACTAAATACTGAGCAAAGGGTCTGAATACTTAGGACCATGTGATATTTCAGTTTTTATTTTTTAATAAATCTGCAAAAATGTCAAAAATTCTGTGTTTTTCTGTCAATATGGGGTGCTGTGTGTACATTAATGAGGAAAAAAAATTAACTTAAATGATTTGAGCAAATGGCTGCAATATAACAAAGAGTGAAAAATGTAAGGGGGTCTGAATACTTTCCGTACCCACTGTATATACAATATACATTCCTCTCATAGAGCCAGAATCATGTTGTTCACATGCACATTCTCAGGAGGAATCACAGAATGACACTGCAAATGTCAAAGGACCATGATAGTCTTAGCACTGTAATCAAACCCTGTACGTTCCCTCTCTTTGATGATGTGGATTACCACATGTATCCAGAAACCACAATCACTAGCAAAGGTAAAGAAGAGAAGTCACTTGTCAATCACTAGAAAACACTCTAAATACTTAACAGTAGTGATGCTTTGAATATTAATTGCACTGTAAATATATTTGCAAAACACTGCAAGCCAAAAAGACTCATGAACTTTAAGCCTTATATTAAACCATGCAGGCTCAATATTGACACATAAAGTTCTACATTCACAATGTGCTTTATGTGTAGCATCTATGCAAACTGGTTTTATTCAAGGAAAATATCATTTCATATGACCGAATCAGCTTGATGTCATTAAGTTAAAATCACCAATTAAACCTGCACATATCCACTTTTTCATTCTCTTCAAGATCTTCTAGAAAATTGTCCAGTCATAAGTATGAATCATATCTAATAATTTCCAGAAATCTTACCATATTGACAGCTTGTTATTGAGATCAAAGTGTATCTGAAAACAATAACAGTCTTCTGTCCAGCAGCCTTACTCCTAAACGTACTCCTCCAGACTCTCCTAATAAGACCTCATATAATTCTCAATCTTCCAGAAAATGGCCAGGATTGGACAAGAAACTCTACAGACTGAACTTGTCAACCAATGTCTGTTCAGACTTAAAAAAGCCCCACCCTTCTTCTTCATCCCTTTCTAATCCAGTGCCACCTCTATGTGCCCTTCATTGCCCCATATTTAGCTGAAGGATGGACAAGTGGTCTCAATGACATTTCCCTGCCAATAAAAAATAAATAAATAAATAAGGAAAGCAACGCAAGGTTATTTAAGCAGTGGATAAACAGATTCCAGAAACAGATGTTGGCTACAATCACTTCCACACCAAGGTTGGATTAGTTCCCTCACCCACATGACTGTGTTTCTTCACCTTATCTGTCAATCTCACCATCTAGCAGTCAGTTTGGCTGATTATCCCTGTCTATACTGTCCATCTCACTTGGATCTGCATCAGATTGATGCATATTAGGAAACAGTGAGTCACAACAAGACAACGAGATTCATGTAAGGCTTCACAGTCAGCTGGTCATTGTATCACCCTGACAGGGTTTATTACACAGCCACACTCTCAAAAAAAGATACAAATCTTTCATTGGGGAGATGCCCTACTAATATGTGCCAGTAGGTAGCAATATGTACAATTTAGGTAGGTGACATAGCCTATTTTGTACCTTTTTTCAGAGTGAGTACTCTCAAAATATACAAATATTTGGACATGAAATATTAAAACTGGTTCATAATGTTACCCATAATCAGTGTTGGGGGTAACACATTACAAGTAACGCGAGTTACGTAATCAGATTACTTTTTAAGTAACTAGTAAAGTAACGCATTACTTTTTTAATTTAGAGGGAAATGTCTGAGTTACTTTTCCAAATAAGTAACGCCAGTTACTTTGTTCCCATGTCTTGACTGACAGCTCTCGTGTTGCCATGTTGAGAGAAATCGGGAGTAAGTACATTGTGCATGCTGTGTGAACATGATTGCTTGCTGTAGTTCTAGACTAAATATGAACATGTATTTACTCATCTCACCTGCACAAAAACAGATTCAGTATTCCTCAAAATGAATAAAAACAGTCAAATGCAAACTCAGAATATTATACAAACCTGCAATAATTAAATATGTTAAATAAAACAAATATAATTTATGTATATAATCCCATTTTATTAACCAATGTCTTTGCTACTGACCTTCAATGATCCACATTTCATTTTTTGTTATTGCTGAATAGTGTTGAACTTTCATGTCCTGCGTCATATTCTTCAAGCAGTTTGTTTGAGCTGCGCCATCTACTGTACAGACATGAATTTACATTTCCTTCAGCCTGAGGCATACTCATTTCACTTTTATTGTGAAAGGGCTTTTACATTTGTAAAAGAAGAACTTTTTTATATTAAAAACAAACAAGCAAGTAATGTAATGCATTACTTTTAAAAGTAACTTTCCCCAACATTGCCCAAAACTACATTAACTTAAAGCTTAAAGTCCTTTAAAACTAAAGTCCTCTGAGCTAATTTTCACTACAAACGATAACAGACGCAAGATGGTGCAAGATGTGTTTGTATGAAACGAGAGCGTACTACATTTGAAGCGGAACGAACATTGCGACTGTAAAAAAAAATATGTTCAGTGTATGAATCACTGCGTCTGAATATGCCTATTTCCTACTATATAGAAGGTGAAAAACATCGTGTGACATGAGTATTATGTCTGAGTTCAAAGTATTTATAAAATAGAAGGTGAAAAGTCCCTGGATGACCTACTACTTGCAAAAATGTTGTATAAGTCTGGATTTCATTCATATGACACATTCATACTATGTAGAATACAAGGGTCACAAAGTTTGTTCCTCAAGAATGTAGTAGTCCTTCATACTCAGACGGTATACTCTCTTCTATATTCTTTAAAATGGAAAGATATCAACCACTGTGGCTCTACCACTAAAGCTTAATTGTTAACTTCATTCTTAAAAATAAAAATTATTTATTGGAATCAATGGTTCCATGAAGAAACTATAACATCCATGGAACCATTCATTGCACAAAAAGTTCTACTTCACACTAATAAAAAGAGGTTCGTTTAAGAACTGAACACTAAAAGTTCAGTTTTTTCTCTCCCCCCCATGTGTCTTGATAACTAATCACATGGTGTCACTGAACTGCTGTCAGAGTTGGACAACAGTCAAACAAACCATTACAATTTTGAATGGACTACAGCTTTCAAGCTTCTAAAAACAACTTCATTCAGTACTATTAAAGCTTTATAAAAGCAGTCCGTCCATATGACTGGAAGTTTCCAGGCTGAACAGGCTGAAGTGGTTATATAACATGAGGGTAGTTATGATAGAAATTTTATTTCCAGGTGAACTGTCCCTTTATGGTTGCATTTCCTACAAGAACAGTGCTGCTTTTTCCCTCTCTACTTTTCTTCGATATGACAGCAGAAGGAGTGACCTTGTCAGACTCTTAAGGCTCGCTGTCATTACCCTTCCATGCCTTATCCGGTTTCTCCTAATAATCCTCTGACTGCTAGAGTTCCGTAGGCTTTGCAAAAATATCTACTCCACGGACAAGTCTTAGCAGATAGTCTTGATCCACATGCTTAACACACCCACACCCATCACTTATAAACACTTGTAACTCAACTTGTAATACAGTAAAATTGAAGTCATGATGTGTAAAGATGTAATAGCCAAATGTAGACTTGTGTCATGGTCTCAGTTAAAGGCAAAATCCTGTCTGAAACAATGCTGCCTTACTTTTGGATATCAGACAAAGATTCATATCTGCTGATAAGAGTAGTAAAGCAACTGGATCTAACACATATGTACACAGAGTATGAGATTTTAAAATGATTAATTAAAAGTGTTCTACTACTCTCAAATTCTCTCTTGAAATTTTTTTCTGAACCTCCTTTTCTATGAAATGACCTTAATTAGCAAAAAATAAAGGTAAGTCTCACTGAACTGTGGCAAGAAAATTAATGAAAGCCAACGTCTTTTCCAGTGAAAGCCGAAGTGTTTTCATTATGGTGCTCTGGTTGTGAGGAAGGCTATCCATTATATAATGAGCATGCAGTTTTCTCCTTATTATCTATATTATTATCAAAATTTGATATATTGAGGGCCAGGTATCAGACACACATTTTTCTATTAAATCAGAAAGAATGAAATGAATTAGAGCCAGATGTGGCCAAAGAAGTAGTCAACGTAGTTGGCAAAGCCATGAGGGGGGAAAAATAACAACTGAAATACGATTCCCACATTCATATGTTCACAAACAGTCCTACATTTTTTCTAATCCCAGATTCTTCAAAATGACCTTAATTAGCCAAATAAAGGTAAGTCTCATTGAGCTCATTCAGGAGCAATGCCTCTGGCAAGAAAAGAAATGAAAGCCACATTCCTTTCCAGTGAAAGCCCACTTATCCTCATTGTAGTGGCCTGGTATGTAAGGAAGGCCATACATTATCTTATGGTCATGCAGTTTTCTTATTACTATCTATATATTATTAACTCAATTTTGACTATTTGATGGCCAGGCATCAGAAACACGTTTTTCTGTGAAATTTGAAAGACGACGACTTAGAGCCAGAAAATACAATTTTAGTCTTTCTACTTTAAAGTTTCACATTTAATTCAATGCAGTACTTTGTGAATTTTTTTGCACTATATATATTCAACATTTCTCACACTATATCACAGTTTATTCACTATCGTTTAGAAAATGGTAATAAAATATGACAAGAACTCAGAGTTAAACTGTGTCAGAACAAATTCATCTTAATAATGTCAGATAACTTTGATAGAAAGGTATGTAATGGATTACAATCAACCAAAAATTATTCAGCTGTTAAATGTAAGTACACAATTAGATAATACCAATTTAGGTCAACCAATTACCAAGCAATGATTAATTTTCTTAAGTCTGTGGAGTAAAAAGGTCACATTAGCAATTAAAGAAAAAACACTTAAGCAAAACAACGGTCAGGTCAAAGTGTCTGAAACATTTCTGATCCCAAATTTTACTGGTAGTCCACTGTATGAAGAACTTTTTGGGTATAATATGTCACAGTTCACTTTAGTTTGCTATCCTCACTTACATAAATGAACTATAGTGTCCTGCACCCACTAGTAAAAAAAATAT